GATCGCTCAGACCATTTCAGAGGGTGATTTGGGATGCATTCCAGATGAAGCTGCATAGGTATTATAATTTTTTGGACAGAATTATTATAAACTAAATAAATTATGACCTGGAGAAAATCTGACCTGCGCCTGAAACACCTGTAGGTGCGCTTTTACAGCCAAAACTACTGTATATTAAAACATGTTTACCATAAGGATAAAACATGTTCTAACTTTTCAGACCTTTAGCCAGGGGGGTTCGGGTGGTTCGGAAGACCCACCACTCACTGACAAAGGTCCAGAATTTGTCCCAAATGAGCTCATTTGTCCTATTTTCATCATATTTTGACTGCTATGCCATCATAATGAAAATAATCCATAAAAAAAGGCTTTATTTTTTTAACCAAAGAGGCTAGAAAAAAATCTGAAGAATTAATTATTATTGTATTATTATTATTATTGTTATTATTATGTTTTAATTATTCTTTTTTATTGAACTGGCCAAACTGTGACTGAGGACAGTTGAATGTGCTGGCCAGTTTGTTTTTTTGTCTAATAAATGATTTTTTAATTTTTTTTTACTTTAAAACTTTAACAGATTGCTATTTTTTCCTAATGACATATGATGTAATAAATTTGTATTTTAAAAATTTGTCTTGTTTGAATTTTTTTTAACTGCAATTTTTAGGAAATATTTTCAGTACATCAAAAAGTGTGGTTATAATGACATCTGACTAGCTAATCCAGCAAAAAAGTCACTAAAATGCAGTATTTAAATCTCATAGTTAAATAGAAACTGAGGCGTATATCTGCAAAAAGGTCCACTTTTTAAGAAAAAAAGAACCAACTCTTTTACCAGGCTGGCTACGGGCCTGTAATAAGCACCAAATAAGTGTTTTCAGTAGCAGCAAAGAGAACAAATGATAACACTTAATAGTAATTCCTCATTACTAGCTTTAATTCAATACAATCTCAGAAATAAAGCCAGTACTGGGGTTACCTTTATATAAAGGTAGATTTTTGTTACTTTTATGTGCTTATATGCATATTTAAGGTACACGTTTGACCATTTAGGTACTGATATACACCTTATACGCACTAATATGCACCTCTAAAGGTATCACTACCGACCCTTTAGGTCTTAATATCACCTTTTAAGATATAGAGATATAATTATTTAATATTTACATACTAATACACACCTTCAAGGTAACAATATTGAGCCTTTTCATACTAATATGCACTTTTAAGGTACAATATCCACACTAATATGACCTTTTAAGGAACCAATTTGGACTATTTACCTATATATGCACCTTTAAGGTACCAATATTGACCCATTAGGTACAAATATGCACTTTTAGGAAAAACTATGCACATTTAAGGTACAATATCGACCCTTTAGGTACTGATATGCACCTTATGGACCCTTTAGAACAGGGATGTCAAACACAATTCCTGGAGGGCCGCAGCCCTGCACAGTTTAATCCCAACCCTCCTCCAACACACTTAAGCTGTGGTCACACTAGAGTTTGTGAAATTCTGTGAAAAGAGGCGGGATTAAACAAGATGATTAGACATTAAAAAGGCGAGCGATTGCTCTATGTTTTAAATTTCTGTCCAGAGGTGTCATGTTTTGATCGTCGATTGGTCTCACGCAGTCAAGTGATGCGATTTCGCAGGTCAGAGTTCACCAAGCTTGAACTTTGCACCGCAGCGAACTGCGAAACTTAACGCATGACCCTGCATTTCCGGTCTGACACATTCGCGTGCGTATGAATGGAAGTCTATGGGAGGAAAAGCCCAGTGTAACCGCAGCTTTACCTGTAGGTTTCAAACAAGCCTCAAGGACTCAATTAGTTTGATCAGGTGTGTATAATTATGGTGTACACTATACCAGGGGTTCTCAAACTTTTCAGCCCGGGACCCCCAAAATAACAATGCCAATGACTCGCGACCCCCACTATTTTCGTAAGTTGTTATAATCATAGAAACGTTGCACACAACACTCACACAAACCAATCAGCCTATATAAACACAAGCATATTGACAACACAAAAAAGTGCAACAGTCCCATATCATTTTTATTATGATTATTTTATATTAACCTCATCTAATTAGACTGGTGGGCACAATATTTAGGTTACATCCCAAGTCTTTTCTTGGTTTAATTTTGGAGACTGCCACTTACACATTATACTCCATGTTTAGTGTCCTGTATGTATTTTAAATGTACGTGAGTGTCGAACTGTGTCAGAAAGTTTAGGTAGTGCTGTAAAATCTGGTGCACTGACGCTGTTACTTTGTCATTAATCTAATGTAAAAACCCTAAGGGTTGCAATCAATGTAAAACAACAACAACAAAAACCAAAGGCTGATGGCTTTTTGTTTGGATATTGTATTTTTATGTGACTATTTTTTATCTTTTGTAGGTTATGGATTAACAATGGTAATCATAAAAGTTTATTCAAATTTATTAGATTTTTTTAAATCACCAAGCGACCCCCTCTCATTGTCCCGCGACCCCCCAGGGGGTCCCGACCCCCACTTTGAGAACCACTGCACTAAACTGTGCAGGGATGTGGCCCTCCAGGAATTGAGTTTGACAACTCTGCTTTAGAAATTAATACACTTTTGAAGGTATCATTATCGAACCTTTAGGTACTAATACACCCCTTTCAATGTATCAATATTGAATATTATATACTAATACGCACCTTTAAGTTACCAATACTGACCCTTTACATACTAATATGCACTTTCGAGGTATCAAAATCGAACAATTAAATATTAATATGCACTACTAATATGCACTTTTATGGTATACCAGTATCAATATTTCACAAAAGGTACTAATATGCACTTATCAACGCTTTAGGTTCTAATTTGCACTTTTAAGGTATCAATATTGGTACCAATATGGACTTTTAAGGTATACCAATATTGACCCTTAATGTACTAATGAGAACTTTTAAAGTACCAATGTTAATGCTTAAGGTATTAATATGCACTTTTAAGGCACCAATATCAACCCTTTAGTTACTAATATGCCCTTTTAAGCTGCCAATATCAGCCCTTTAGGTACTAATATGCACTTTTAAGGCACCAATATTGAAATTTTAGGTTCTAATATGCACCTTTGAGGCATCAATATTGACCTTTTAGATATTAATATGCACTTTAAAAATACCAATATTGACCCCCTAGGTACTAATATGCATTTTTGAGATACCAATATTGATCCTTTAGGTCAGTGGTCACCAAACTTGTTCCTGGAGGGCCGGTGTCCTGCAGATTTTAGCTCCAACCCTAATCGAACACACCTGAACAAGCTAATCAAGGTCCTACTAGGTATACTTGAAACATGCAGGCAGGTGTGTTGAGGCAAGTTGGAGCTAAACCCTGCAGGGATACCGGCCCTCCAGGACCAGGATTGGTGACCCCTGCTTTAGGTACTCATATGCCCTTTTAAGGCACCAATATTGACCCCCTAGGTACTAATATGCCCTTTTAAGGCACCAATATTGAAATTTTAGGTTCTAATATGCACCTTTTAGACATCAATATTGACCTTTTAGGTATTAATATGCATTTTTAAAGCACTAATATTAAAATTTTAGGTACTAATATGCACTTTTAAGACATCAATATTAACCTTTTAGGTACTAATATGCACTTTTAAGGCACGAAAATTAACATTTAAGGTACTAATATGCATTTTTTTTTTGGTATACCAATATTAAGGCTTTACAGAAGGTACAGTAATAGGCACTTTTAAGATACCAACGTTAACCATTTTTATTTATGCAATTTTAAGGCTCTAATATCAACCCTTTAGTTACAATTATGCACTTTTATGGTATACCAATATCGATGCTTTACTGCAGGTTTTATATGAACTTTTAAAATACCAATATTGATCCTTTAGGTACTAAAATGCACTTTTAAAGTGCATCATTTTTAAAACTTATAATATCCTCCCTTTACATACTAATATGCATGTTCAAGGTACCAATATTTACCCTTTACAAACATGTGCACAATTAAGATTTCCTTTTAGGAACTAATATGCACTTTTATAGTGCCAACATCAACCCTTTAGGTACCAATATCGACACTTTAGGTACTAATATGTACTTTTAAGATAATATTATCCTTTAGGTACTAATATGTCCTTTTAATGTATCAATATTGAATATTTACATACTAATATGCACGTTCAAGGTACCAACATTAACCCTTTAAATACGAATATGCACATTTAGGATATCAATATTGACCCTTTAGGTACTAATAGAAACTTTTAAGGTAACAATATCGACCCTTTAAGTACTGATATGCCCTTTTAAGATAAAATATGCACCCTTAACATACTAATATGCACTTTCAAGGTACCAATATTGACCCTTTACATGCTAATGTGCATGTTTAAGATACAAATATTGACCTTTAAGTATTAATATGCACTTTTAAGATACCAATATTAACCCTTTGGGTACTAATATGCACTTTTAAGATACCAATATCGACCCTTTGGGTACAATTATGCACTTTTGTGGTATCTACATATCGAAGGTTTACAGTATGCACTAATACGCACTTTTTAAGTACCAAAATTAACGCTTTAAGTACTAATATGCCCTTTTAAGATACAATATCCACCCTTAACATACTAATATGCACCTTTTAAGGTACCAATATTGACCCTTTACATACTAATGTGCATGTTTAAGATACAAATATTGACCTTTAGGTATTAATATGCACTTTTAGGATACCAATATCGACCCTTTAGGTAATAAGCACTTTTAAATTTAGTATTGTTTGTAGTTAATGTTAGTAAATACATGAACTGATTAAACCTTATTGTAAAGTGTAACCAAGAAAACAGCCAAATAAGCTTTTTTACTGTTCATTAACATCATCCAAAAAATAAAAATCATGCTTCAAATGTATTCTTTGTCTCTAAATCTCTCCATTTACACTGCATGAAAGCCAAGGTCAAGAAAGCTCCAGTTTACCTTTTGTTACGGTCTAATCTCTCTCCGGTAAGACGTGTGTAACATGACAGCACTGTTGCACTGGCGGCCCATAGGAACGCTCTTGTTTCAAATAGTCCAGTCACACCCTGCCTGCATTACTAGCGATTGAGCAGTTATTTTCCCCTCCCTGCTTTCCTCCTCCTCACCGTTCGCAGGTTAACAGGCATTCGGCGGGTTCATTCACACACACACACACACACACACACACACAGAGAGAGAAAAAACTGCGCCCTCAGGACTCACTAGTTTGCATTGTGCAACTGATAGAGAGCAAGGCGAGGGTCATGATAATGAACACAATGGCGACAAGCGGCCTGATAAGACAAAGGACACAGACGGTGACTCGGTCCAACGGGGTGTGTTTTTGGGCAGGACTCGCTGTCTGTACTCGCTCCCATTCGTTACCTGGAATTCAAGAAACAGCTTTGGTTATTTATAGCTGCTTGTTTAACTTCAGGACACAGATTCCACTTGGAATGCCAACCGGCGCGACTCAACTTCAAGAATTGGTGTATAAAAAGTAAACAAAAGCATGTTGGGAATTAAACATTGATACGCGGCATGTTACCTCAGACTTCACGGATCCAGTGATGTGGTTATTCATTAACTTTGAGGTTATTGGAGGATTAAGTTATTGCTGTAGTTTTTATTAATCGTTCAAGGTATTATTTATATAATATACACTCAAATACGGATCAAATGTTTTGGATCAGATTTTGTAAAGTTTTAAAAGAATACTATTCTGCCTGTTACTTTTAGGTGCTAATTTGCATCTTTAAGGTACATGTTTGACCCTTTAGGTACTGATATACACTTTATTGACACTTTTAAGACCTTTTAAGATATAAATATTGAATATTTACATACGAATACACACCTTCAAAGTAACAATATTGACTCTTTACATACTAATATGCACTTTTAAGGTACCAATATCGACACTTTAGGCACTAATATGACCTTTTAAGATACCAATATGGACTATTTACCTTTATATGCACCTTCAAAGTACCAATATTGACCCACTAGGTACTAATATGCACCTTATGGACCCTTTAGAAATTAATGCATTTTTAAATGTCTCAATATCAAACCTTTAGGTTCTAAAACGCTACTTTCAAGGTATCAATATTGAATATTCTGTACTAATACGCACCTTTAAAGTACCAATATTGACTCTTTACATACTAATATGCACTTTTAAGGTACCAATATCGACACTTTAGGCACTAATATGACCTTTTAAGGTACTAATATGGACTATTTACCTTTATATGCACCTTTAAAGCACCAATATTGACCCATTATGCACTTTTTGGTAAAACTATGCACATTTAAGGTACAATATCGACCCTTTTGAAATTAATGCACTTTTAAAGTTATCAATATCGAACCTTTAGGTACTTTATTTACCTTTATTAGCACCTTAAAGTACCAATGTTGACCCATTAGGTACTAATATGCACTTTTAGGAAAAACTATGCACATTTAAGGTACAATATCGAACCTTTAGGTACTAATACACTACTTTCAAGGTATCAATATTGAATACCTTGTAATAATGCTCACCTTTAGGGTACCAATATTCACCCTTTACATACTAATATGGACTTTTTAGGTACCAATATCGACACTTTAGGCACTAATATGACCTTTTAAGGTACTAATATGGACTATTTACCTTTATATGCACCTTTAAAGTACCAATATTGACCCATTATGCACTTTTAGGTAAAACTATGCACATTTAAGATACAATATCGACCCTTTAGAATTTAATGCACTTTTAAAGTTATCAATATCGAACCTTTAGGTACTTTATTTACCTTTATTAGCACCTTAAAGTACCAATGTTGACCCATTAGGTACTACTATGCACTTTTAGGAAAAACTATGCACATTTAAGGTACAATATCGAACCTTTAGGTACTAATACACTACTTTCAAGGTATCAATATTGAATACCTTGTAATAATGCTCACCTTTAGGGTACCAATATTCACCCTTTACATACTAATATGGACTTTTTAGGTACCAATATCGACACTTTAGGCACTAATATGACCTTTTAAGGTACTAATATGGACTATTTACCTTTATATGCACCTTTAAAGTACCAATATTGACCCATTATGCACTTTTAGGTAAAACTATGCACATTTAAGATACAATATCGACCCTTTAGAATTTAATGCACTTTTAAAGTTATCAATATTGAACCTTTAGGTACTTTATTTACCTATATATGCACCTTTAAAGTACCAATATTGACCAATTAGGTACTAATATGCACTTTTAGGTAAAACTATGCACATTTAAGGTACAATATCGAACCTTTAGGTATTAATACACTACTTTCAAGATATCAATATTGAATACCTTGTAATAATACTCACCTTTAGGCTACCAATATTGACCCTTTACATACTAATATGCACTTTTTAGGTACCAATATCGACCCATTAAATATTAATATGCACTTTTAAGATATCGATATTGACCCTTTAGGTACAAATATGAAGTTTTTAAAAGAAGACTATTCTGATTTGATTGGTTTATTTTGAACAGAATATCATACACCTAAATCCCTCAAATAAAACAATTCATGATGATCAACAAAATATCCACCTATCCATTTAAATTTATTATTTTATTTATTGATCATTTATAGTTAACAACCACCACCCCCACCTACGACGACTATGCCATCGTCTATTGCTTGCGATGTTTCACATTAGACATCGTACAATGCCAAATTAGTCAACATCCCCCACATCTAGTGACAAATAACCCATTTGACAGACATTTTTAAAGAATTTTTAAAAATATTTTGAAATTGGACTGACAAGACGTTTTTCACATCAATGTATTAACATATAATTAATTTCTCTCGTGTATTGTTAATTTCTTAGTTTCATTACCCCAGTGTTACATAATGCTTGAGTAACCTTTCTAATATGCTGATTTGATGGTCAAGAAATGATTTATTCTGATACAGGAAACAGTTTGAAAACGTTTATTTAACATTTGGCAATTTGTGCTCTGATTAAATTGTGCCACAGACATGATTCAATTGGTTTACTTATATTAAGGAGCAAAACCAAAACTGTTTTTTATTTATCTGGGATTTTGAATTAATTGTATTAATTAACATTATCTGGTAGTCATCTAACAAGCCTAATAATGACATTAATGCTAGTCACAGCTGTGTGGTCTTCTGTACTGATGCATTACGGTCTGAAAAGCTGTTGGCGACAGGATCAATTGTAGATTCTGGACATTAGAATATAAACTGATGGCAATGACTGGCTCTCATTAGTCGCTGATGTAATTGAAATGCTAATGATGATGGGGTTGGACCTGCTCCCAGTCAGAGGAATAAACCTGCAGTGATGTGGATATACATCACAAACCTTTTACACTTCTGAGTGATAAAAGCGGCTATGGAAGCCACTGAATTAAATAAATACATAAATACAAAGAGGAAATTGAGACATTTAATCCCACTAATCAGCATTTTCTTCACCTCAGATATTGTGCACTTTGACAATTCTGACTTACTACAACCCCAAATCAGAACATGTTGGGACAGTATAGAACACAAATAAAAAATAAAAAGCAGTGATTTCCAAACGCACTTTGACTTGTATTTCATTGCAGACAATATGGACACAAAATGTTTTATGTTTTGTCAGGTCAACTTCATTTTTCAACTTCTTTCCTGTCAGAACTGCAACACATTACAAAACAAAGTTGGGACAGGAGCAGTTTCAAGAGTTCACACTTAGCTGATGATTGATTATAAGCAAGTTTGGCATGCTGTCCCGGGAGAGAGCCCTGAGCTCGAAGGTTCTTGAGCCCTGGGCTCCCTCCCGTTTGGAGGTAGAGAGGGGAGCCTCGAGCTCAGGTAGATCTCGACAACTCCCCTTTTTATAATAGCTAAAGATTAAGATTGAAGGCTATTAAAAGATATGCTGCATTATTAGATTACCTGTATTGAAATTTAGATTTAACGATTAACTTGTTGTACATGTTTTTGGAATGTGGGAGGAAACCGGAGAACCCGGGGAAAACCCACGCAAGCACGGGAAGAACATGCAAACTACACACAGAAACGACCACCGGCCTGTTAAGGAACTAGAACCAGTGACGTTCTTGCTGTGAGGCGACAGTGCTAGTCACTGAGCCACCGTGTTGCCCTATGGAGGGAAAGGTGAAAAGGTAGGGGTGGAAGGGGGGATTCTTCAAATCAAAGATGACTGTAGTGAGAAAACCCTGGCTCTTTATAGTGGTTAGGAATGGCCTGATTGGTGGATCAAGCATGCTGATGCAGAACCAGCCGTGTTCAATCATAATCACGTGCTCCTCTCGAAATTAGTTTATGAATAAACTTCAATTAGGGCTAATAATCAGGTCAGCTGGTTAAATAATGATCTGATTTGAAACAGGTGAAGTCAACATGTGATTGTAATTATGACTTGGTACAAAAGCAGCATCCAAGGAAGGTCTAGTCCTTTAGGAGCAAAGATGGGCTGATGATCACCCGTTTGCCAACAAATAACAAATATAGGAGACAATGGCTGTTTCTCAATATGCGTTCTTCAGCGGTCTTGCGTCCTCGTGTTCTCGTGAAATGTCATCATCAGCTGCCTAAGTTCAGTTCAAATACTCAAGACCGCAAGTACGGAGGACGCGTGAAACTTCCTGAATGTGACCTTGATATCGAGGACTCACCGATGCAGACTTGAGCACCGAACTTGCTCTGGAAGTCCCAGAAGTCATTGCGACTAAAGGTGGGAAGCGCAGCATTTTATCTAGAATTATAATTAAAGTTCATAGATATGAATTATTTACCTCAGGAGTTTCTCTAAATGAAATGGTGAAAGTAAACATTACCATGGACATCTTAATAAAGGGATAAACACATTAAGGGTGTTTGTTTGCTGAAATTCGTATTAAAATCTGTTTTATTTATATTGTGAGTATATTTATAACGTTTTTATGCAAAGTAAATATTTTGAAAAGGGGAAAAACAATAAATGGTTGTATGAGTGCTGTAATGTTTAAATAATTTACCATTTAAAACGCGTGAAGGTCACGTGACCATCAGGAAGAACGCAGCATCTCAATTCTCAAAGGACGCGTTCTCTGCCCTCGCGGTCTCCTGAGTTCGTTCTTCCGAGGACACCTGGCAAGACCGGTCTCCACAAGAACACAAGTCCGTTCTCTGCGTTCTTGGAATTGAGAAACAGCCATTGATTGAAATGTTTCTTAAAATGTTTACAATGTTCCTCAAAGACTGATAGGAAGAACATTTGGATATTTCACCTTCAACAGTGCAGAACATCATTAAAAGATTCAAGGAATCTGGAGGAATTAGTTCAGGAATTTAAGCTGAAGTACCTTAACCTCTGATCCCTCAGGCAGCACTGCACCAAGAATCCTCATTCATCTATATTTGTTTCTTTATTTAACCAGATAAAAACCCATTGAGATCAAGATCTCATTTACAAGGGTGACCTGGCCAAGAGGTCTGCAACACACGATTTATCTAAAAAATAAAAATAAATAAAAAAATAAAAATGTAATAATATTAGTAATAAATATAAAATTGATATAATATAAAAATACAGTTCAGTTTTCCAGCTTTACCACATTTCAATATATTAAAAACACACACATTGAGAAATGGACTGTTGTTGATTGTTAAAAAGGATAGAGCGAAACGATGTCATTGGGATGAGCTCAGATATCTTTAGTTCAGACTGAAGAGTATTCCAGGATGAGGATCCCTATTTCTTCCCTATTTCAGTTCGAACCGGGGGAACAGTCAAATGATAAGCTTCGCTTAAGCGTAGGGCATACTGGCTTTTAGACTTATGGAGAAGGGAACAGGTATAAAGGCACCAGTTCCAGAAGAGCCTTGTAGACCAGAGTCATCCAGTGTGTGTACCTTCTTACATTCAGAGAAGGCCACTCAGCTTTGGCATACAGTTCACAATGATGAGTAAGTCTTTGACAGCCTGTAACAAACCTTAGAGCACTGTGATAGATGGAGTTTAAAGGCTGAAGACATTTGTTTGAAGCATGCATATATAAAACATCACCATAGTCAATCAAGGGTAAAAATGTTGCAGACACCAAATGTTTGCGAGCTTTAAAGGGCCATGAAACCCCCTCGTTTCAGCAGGGTGTTTTCACACCTCTACTTTGGAAAAAGTCAGAAAAGTGGGCGTGTCCAGCTCTGTTTAGGGGGGAGTGTCGGAGGAAGAAAAGTGGGATGGTGTGGGAGTGTCTATTTGGGCACGCGCGAGTTTCAGTCAAAATACACACACACACACACACACACACACACACACACACACACACAGTAGAAAGTGATGGTGTTTAACCTACTGTACATGGACATCTGTAGTCGAATTATTTGCCAAATTATTAAATGGTGGACTTTAACTGCAGTTTGGCTCTTTCATTCAGGGAATTCATTCATGCCCCTCGCGACACACAAGATATTTGATTCGAGGAACTGCTCTAAGCGTGTATTTTTCATGCAATGTTTGATACCGCACGGCGAATGAGAGAAAAAAAAACTTAGATGCACACGGCAGGTAGCGTCAGAAAGCCGCGTGTGTTATTCCGGTCACTAAATGCGGTAAAAACCCTACACGAGGTTAAAGTTTGGTTGTGGTGCTAACATGTTTACACTCGGTGCAATAGTTAACTTAGTTCGATACGAACAAACTGAATAAACAAAGAGCACTGGTCGCTCACTTACCAAATCTGTAGAGACAGGACAATCACCAGCAACTAGAGCCGCGTCTTTATTTAGAGGAGACTACAAGCGAATCCGGATCTCAGCGTTTGCAGATGAGAACAGCTCTCAGGTAAACAATAATCCTCCTTAGACATGTAAGTTATTGTTGTCGAGCATCGCGTACACTGTTAATCCACACGTGACTCCAGCTGCGCTCTCACAGAGAGAAATGAAAACAAAACTTAACTGCAGCAAACTATAAAAGCAACACTTCACGCTTGTTTTGCCAACACAACGTGGCGTCTCTGCCGTCTAAACACTGTGACAGTAATGAATATTAATGAAGTTGCACAATAGAGCGCGCTGATTGGTTTGAACCAAGCTTTACTCATGCATTAATGCAGCACACTGTAAGACGTAATAAGACTCACTCTGGCACAGACGCCCAGTCTGCACGCTGGAATACACGCTATTATGTCATGACCGTGACGCAGCTTCAAAAATTAGTTTAAAACCGGAAGTACGAATTTGCTTGAAATAACGCAAAAACAACCAATTTACACTTTTTAGTGAAATATAGGTGTCCTAATAGTGTTTTTAGCAGTGTGGGACACATATACGACTGTCAACAGCTCAAAAAATGTGTTTTGGTGTTTCGTGACCTTTTGAGAGAAAAGCAGGATGCATTTCGATAGTAAAATCTGAGCTTAACTCTCAATTTCCTAACCAAATTTGCTATGTGTTCTTTGAAAGAAAGCTCCTGATCGAGTAGAAAGCCTAAATACTTATAGCTGGACACCAAGTTTATTTGTTGACCTTGGGCAATGGTAATTAATGGTTGATTCTGCACAGGAGTGGAACAATTTGTGAAAATCATTCATTTAGATTTGTCTACATTTAAAACCAATTTAAGATCCTTAAGACGAGACTGAACAATATTAAAAGCAGACTGTAAAAATTGAAGGGCCTGAGAAAATGAAGGGGAGCAACAATAAATCACTGTATCATCAGCGTACAGATGATAAAAGGCATTTGGAATAATGGAATCTATAAGTGATTTCACCACATGGGCTCAGGACTACTTTGGAAAACCTTTACCAAGTACCACAATACGTACTTACATCCACAAATGCCAGTGAAAACTGTACTGTGCCAAAAGGAAGCCCTATGTTAACAGTGTCCAGAAGCGCCATCGACTTCTGTGGGCTCGGAGGCATCTGGGATGAACCATCACACAGTGGAAACGTGTACTGTGGTCATGCCATGTGCTCCAGACCAAAGAAGAAAATGATCATCTAGACTGTTGCCAGCAACAAGTCCTAAATCCAGGGTCTGTCAGGTAGGGTTCTGTCAGTGCCCTTGGCAAAGGTAACTTGCTCTTCTGTGATGCACCATTAATGCTGAAGAGTACATAGAGGTTTTGGAGCACAGTATGCTGCTTTCGTTTCCACGCATATTTCAACAAGACAATGCAAAAGCACATTCTGCACACATTACAAATTTCTGGCTGCGGAGGAAGAGGATAAAGGTACTTGACTGGCCTGCCTGCAGTCCCGACCTGTCTACAATAGAGAATATGTGGTGCATTTTGAAGACCCTGTACTGTTGCCCACCTGAAGACTTGTTTGCAGGAAGAATGAGACCAAATTACACCTGAAACACTTCATCACTTGGTGTCTTCAGTCCCTAAACGTCTTTTAAGTGTTGTGAACAGGAATGGCAACATTACAAAGTGCTAAATGCTTTACGGATCCAACTTTTTTTGAAATGTGCTGCAAGAACCAAAATTAGTGTTTATCTTGACAAAAAAAACAACATAAAAATCACGAGGAACACATTAAATAATGTTTGTTTGCAGCGAAATACAAGTCAAAGTAAATTGAGAAATCACTACTCTCTTTTTTTATTTGCCTTTTCCATACTGTCCCAACCTTTTCTGATTTTTTTGTAGTAACAAAAAACTTTTTTTATTAAAATCGCTCCACAACATTAACCTAGATGCAAAAATAACTTGATTTTATGTATGTTTATTGACTGCATTATACGATCAATACACTTCTGTTCATTCCTAATCATAATTAAATTGAAGTTGAATCCATTTGTGTTAATCACAGCTACCGAAGCCTGTTCCTCTGTGACTCTACACCGTTCAACAGTTTTAGAAGCGAGGAAGGGTTGTAGGGAAACAAACCTCTGTTATGAAGTCTGCTCACCGCCGTCCTCAAGTCCATTAAACACGCAAGCACTTTACCTAACAGGGACTCTTCCACCAGCATTACAGAAGCTCCACAATCGACATTGTCTGCTTCCTCTGACTCGTCTGAACTGCCATAATCAACCAGTCGAGAAACTAAAGCGGTTTCCACTTGGTTACCTGTTGCTGATTCACCACAGGGAACAGCAGCAGCAGCAGATGAAGCTGGAATGGAGAGATCAGATCCTCTTTTAGCATCTCCGCCACCGTCTTCAATGTGTTGAGAGGATCTGCACAGGCCTGTCCAGTCCTGGCAGAGCAGTTTGAGGTATCGAACGAAGTACTCCAGAAAGCAGGTCTCCGAGGAGATGAGGAAGTCCAGCAGGACACTGTGGTCAAACGAGAGCGAACGCAGCAGGAGGATGAAGAGGCAGTGAGGGTTAAAACCCCAGACGCACACACCAGAGTCCGAACAGCTCCTATAGGGAAGGAGAATAAGAGAGATTTTTATTTATTTATATATGCCAGATTTCAAGAAAGGCAACCTAAAATCAAAAACGCATTCTTACACATACAATAGCCCCTTTCACACAGTGATACCGGTAAATATCCGGAACATTTCCTGAACTACTTTACCGGTATATTCAAAAAAGCGCTGTTCACACAGGCGAGGACGTTATGGAATTTTTCCGAAAAAGAGCATTCACACATCCATCGCAAAATGCCGGTAATTTCTGACATTATTAACCAGAAATGACCTCTAAACGGCTGCGCTTGTGTTTGTAAACATTTGACTAAATTACAAACTCTTCGGATGGATCAGTATTGAGTACAACTCTAATGAAAACATAGGGTAACACTTTCGCATGTCGAGATGTTCATGATATGTGTGTGTGCTGGCGCTATGGGCGCTCACGGGCACACGCAAAGCTTGAAGGTAAACAAACAACGGATTATCATAAACATTTTATCGATAATTATTTACACAGCATTAAGAAGGAACATAGAAACATTATCTGACTAACATCTAGCAGCTAAAGGTGTCTGGAAAAATATTCAGAGGCTTTTATTCTCATCAACCGCGCGCACGTGAATGCGTCTGACTGTTCTGATTGGCTAAAGCAGGTGTCTCACGTCAGCCCGTTCTAGACGTGCACGCGCTTATTACGGCAATCTTCCTTCTGCATTCACACAGCGCAGCATTCCGGCAAATTACCGGTAATGTTACAACTTCTCTTTCCGGAAAATAGCCAGAACAAATTTACCGGTATTTTCAAAAAGGACCTGTTCACACATAAAGGTCTGTATGTGTGAAAGGGGCTTGTGAAAGGGGCTAATATCAGTAAAACTATTCATTCCAGGCAGGGCCGGCGCTTCCATAGAGGCGACCTAGGCGGCCGCCTAGGGCGGCAGAATAGAGAGGCGTCCCCGAAACTATCCTCGCCACCCACGCCCACAATTATATCCGCGTGTAGGGTGGCAGAATAGAGAGAGCGGCGTCCCAGAAACTATCCTCGCCACCCGCGCCCACAATTATATCCGCGTCTAGGGTGGCAGAATAGAGAGAGCGGCGTCCCAGAAACTATCCTCGCCACCCGCGCCCACAATTATATCCGCGTCTAGGGTGGCAGAATAGAGAGAGCAGCGTCCCAGAAACTATCCTCGCCACCCGCGCCCACAATTATATCCGCGTCTAGGGTGGCAGAATAGAGAGAGCGGCGTCCCTGAAACTACCCTCGCCACCCGCGCCTCAGTTATATCCGCGTGTAGCGCGGCAGAATAGAAAGGGTGGCGTCCCCTAAACTACCTTCGCCACCCGCGCCTCAGTCATAGCCGTGTCTAGGGCGGCAGAATAGACCCCCCCCCCCCCCCCTTTTCACTGTAGGTTTGAGGGCGGCGTGAACGTCCTTTGCCTAGAGCGGCAGTTCAGCTTGCTCCGGCCCTGATTCCAGGGGAAGGATATGAAGCAGAAATCCTTCTAATTATTGTCTCAATCATTCATTTTCTTTTCGGCTTAGTCTCTTTATTCATCAGCCGTCGCCACAGCTGAATGAACCGCCAACTTATCCGGCCTGTTTTACGCAGCGGATGCCCTTCCAGCCGCAACCCAACACTGGTAAACACAAGGAGAACATGCAAACTCCACACTGAAAGCCAACTGACCTAGCCGGGACTCGAATTAGTGACCTTGTTACTGTCAGGCGACCCACTAAGCCACAGTGTTGTGCTAACCACTGAGCCAGTCACCCTATTTCTTGGATATTTTATACATTTTTTTAAAAAGTTGGATAATTTTTGGACCTGGGCAATATCAAAATCAACAGAAACAGCATTTAACTTGACATTAAATAGATCCAAACCTTTTCTGATATAAATACAAGGCCATCAGAGTGTTGGTTGCTTCCATCATGTCGTCATCCTGCTCAGCAAACAGTGCAGAAACCCAGCAGCAGCGATGAGAGTCCAGGGAGACGTGACGCTGGAGGAATAACATGAGCTCTGTTAAATACTGCTGCGCTTCAATCTCACCCGCAGATCCTGAAAGAGACAGATAACATGTAGAGATACAGCGCCCTCTGCTGTTGGACATGATTCATTGACATATTTCATTCTAAATGAGTGCCTCCAGATTTATAAATGGATCGAGAATCATATGTATATCTAAATTTATTATTATTCATTTATTCATTTCCTTTTCGGCTCAGTCCCTTTATTAATCTGGGGTCGCCACAGTGGAATGAACCGCTAACTTATCCAGCATATGTTTTACACAGCGGATGCCATATTTATTAATAATGTTGTTGTTTATTGTTCTTATTATTATTGTGACATCAAGAAAGATTATTTTTTTTACTGTATATAGGCTCACATTTGTTTTCATTAGTATTGTTTTAGATTTAAGTATAGAATTATATACACTAACAGCATATTGGGTTGTTTCATTAAAATCATTTTTAGTCACCTTTTGTCAAACCATACAACATCAAATGCTAATATATATAATATGTATATTTTATTTTAGCATTACGGCAAGATAATGCATTTATAATAGTTTTAGTGAATTATTTATTCCACAAAATTGAGTTTGATATCTGGACTTGTTTTTCAAAATAAAAGAGAAATAAAAGAATAAACAATATTTTATTAGTATTATTATTATTAGCAAATGTTCATTAATTTTAATAAACCAGTTTTCACGCCCTCTTTTTAACACAGTGCTATGATGACAGTAAATAATATTTTTCAAGACACTTCTATACAGCTTAAAGTGACATTTAAAGGCTAGGTTAATTAGGTTAACTAGGCAGGTTATGGTAATTAGGCTTCAATTAATTATTAAGCTTTTATTTAATTTAATTTTTTATTAAGTTATTATATAGCGATGGTTTGTTCTGTAAACTATTGAAAAAATATATAGCTTAAAGGGGCTAATTTGACCTTAAAATGGTGTTTAAAAAATTAAAAACTACTTTTATTCTTGCCAAAATAAAACAAATAAGACTTTCTCCAGAAGGAAAAATATTATCAGACATACTGTGAAAAATTCCCTGCTCTGTTAAACATCATTTGGGAAATATTTAAAAAAGAAAATCAAAAGGGAAGCTAATAATTCTGACTTTAATATATATATATAGTCATCCATTCATTTTCTTTTTGGCTTAGTCCCTTTATTAATCGTGGTCGCCACAGCGGAATGAACCGCCAACTTATCCCGCATAAGTTTTACACAGCAGATGCCCTTCCAGCTGCAACCCATGACTGGGAAACACCCATACACTCTCATTCGCACTTATACACTACGGACAATTTAGCCTACCCAATTCACCTATAGTGCATGTCTTTGACTGTGGGGGAAACCAGAGCACCCGGAGGAAACCCACACAAACACATGAGCCAACACAAAGGTACAAAAGATGCCAATGGGGCAGTACCTTTTCAAAAGGAACACATTTTTACCTAAATGGTCCATATTGACACCTTAAAGTTATATATTATTAGCTAAACAAAACAACAATGTACATTTTTTATTTTTTTAGGCACATATATGTATCTTTAATGTACACATTTGAACCCTTGGCCCCATTGGTAGCTTGTGTCTATGGTAGTACCAGTTTAACACCAGTCCAGTATTTAAAAGAAGCATAGATGACTAGAAGAGATGGGGAAGCAACCTTCTTGATGAGAGGCGACATTGCTACCCTCTGCGTCACCACACCACCCCCTTAGCAATCAATCATATACATAACATATATATTAACAGAGCAAGGGATTTTTCACAGTATTTCCTAAAATATTTTTTCTGTTGGAGAAAGTTTTATTTGTTTTATTTTGGCTAGAATAAAAGCAGTTTTTAATTTTTTAAAACTGTTTTAAGCTCCATATTGTTAGCCCCTTAAGGCAATAGTTTCGATTGTCTGCAGAACAAACCACTGTTATACAATGATTTGCCTAATTACCCTAACTTGCCTAATTAACCTAGTTTAGCCTTTGAATGTCACTTTAAGCTGAATACTAGTGTTTTGAAAAACATCTAGTCAAATATTATTTACTGCCATCATGGCAAAGATAAAATAAATCAGTTATTAGAGATGAGTTATTAAACTATTATGTTTAGAAATGTGGTAGAAAAAATCTTCTTTCCTTTAAACAGAAATTGGGGGAAAAGTATACTTACAACTGTACTTATTTCTTTAAAAATGCCTTAAAAGAAAGACTGTAATTTTCTAGATGCTAATATACAAAGTGAAAACTAACCTTGCTGACCCAGAGACTTCATTTTTATCTCCAGTGACTTCAGTAAAATCAAGCTCACGGCTCTCAGAATCACGTCATCCTTTTTCATCGTTCCATCAACATCGCAGTTTCCACCAAAAAAGCTAGCCTGAGCTTTAACAGGAACTTCCTTTAGCCAGCCTGCGTTCACTTCCTGTAGCACAGTGTCCGCCATGCTCAGCAGATCCTCCGTCAGACTAAGATCTTCACCTGATGCCGACTGAACATCACCTGAAATCCAGATATCAATCAATCAATTCAATATTACTTAATTAAAAAATTTCAATTATTACTTTATTAAAAAAATGTATTTAATTATTATTTTTTTTATTTCCCATTTCATTTTTCCTGCAGAAGTCTGCTGCATTTCAAATGATGACTTCCGGTATCTCAAGAAATCACTGTAAATGTCCCGTACTGTTTGGAAATGTGCATTTTTATTGGCTGTTTGACAATAATCTGAACTGAAACCTAAAGAGAGTGTGGGACATATAGTAGCTTCTCCCCTTTTTCACATCTTAGGATGGCAACATAGCTAGTGCCTAGTAAGTGTTACCCAAATATCACATGGTTTCCGCTACATTCATTCTTCCATGGCGGGGCGCCACGCCAAAATTGATCCCGCCACGGCTACATTACAGCTTCTCATTTAAAGAATTTAATTTTTTTGATAGCGGGTGATAATAGCACCTAAACGTATTAAAGGGTAAGTGAATTATAACAGCGCAAACTTTTCTGTAACCGTAGTAGTCCTGTGCGTTATTTGTTTAAACATTCAAGGTTACGTGCTGACTGACTAACTGACTGGCTGACTGACAGGTGATGCATGAGGCCAGCAAACACGACGTATAGCCGTTTTATTTTACTTCAGGACACATTAATACGGCTTTGTAGGTATTAAAGACATTCATAAATATTCCTAGCAAATCTAATAAATGCTGAAGACATACTCGTTACATAAACGCACTAAATCGCGCTTCAGCAGCAATTATTTGAAAGCGCACAAGAAGATCTGCGCACTCTTGAAGCGGCTTATATTTCAAGGGGCGTGCAAGAAGTTTTGTGCACGAGCAGAGGAAATCAGCGCGCAAGCAAAGAGATCTGCATGCTCGTAGGCTATTACATAAACGCGATCTCGACTTGTAGTACTGCGCTTACCACATTTGTCATTTGAAATAACGCCACAGGTAGTTGGTAGATCTGTTTAAAAAAAAAAGGCCTGCCGCCACAGCTGGAAAAAATCCTAGAGGAAACACTGTATCAATATTATTTGTATTACATCTACTTTGCAGTGGCCTAGTCAAAGTCCTGACCTGAATCCAATTGAGATGCTGTGGTATGACTTTTAAAAAGGCAGTGCATGCTAGAAAACTCCACAATGTGGCTGAATCACAACAATGCTGCAAAGATGAGTGGGACAAAATTTGTGGCCAAATGTGGGCCAACATTTTTCTTTTTGATATTTGTCATCAGTTCATCAGGAAAAGACTGTTTTGCTCTCGTTGACTCACTGGAAGGAAACTTTGCTTTTTTCAGAAATGTTTTCTGCGATATTACAGATTGCGCATAATTCACATCTTTGGATGGAAACATAGCTAGTGCCAAATAAGATTACCCAAATATCAATATTATTTGTATTACATCTACTTTGGAATGGCCTAGACAAAGTCCTGACCTGAATCTAATTGAGACGCTGTGGCATAACCTTAAAAAGGTGGTTCATGCTAGAAACCCCCCCAATGTTGCTGAATCACAACAATTCTGCAAAGATGCGTAAGCCAAAATTCCTTTCTTTTTTTAAATTTGTTATCAGTTTATCCGAAAGAGAATGTTTTGTTCTCTTTGACTGATTGAATGAAAGCGCTGCTTTATTCGCAAATTTTTTATTATATGATGTTTTGCAAATAATTAACATCTTTGTGTGAAAACATAGCTAGTGCCTAGTAAGTGGTACCTAAATATCAATATTATTTGTGTTACATCTACTTTGGAGTGGCCTAGTCAAAGTCCTGACCTGAATCCAATTGATGGTGGTTCATGCTAGAAAAGCCCCCAATGTTGCTGAATTACAACAAATCTGCAAAGATGAGTGGGCCATAATACCTCAAAGTACATTTTTCTTTTTGATATTTGTCATCAGTTTATCAGGAAGAAACTATTTTGTTCTTCCCTGGCTCATTGGATGGAAACGCTGCTTTATTAGCAAATGTTTTATTATGTGATATTACAGTTTTGTGCATAATTCATATCTTTGGATGGAAACATAGCTAGCGCCTAGTAAGCCTTACCCAAATGTCAATGTTATTTATATTACATCTACTTTGGAATGGCCTAGTCAAAGTCCTGATCTGAATCTAATTGAGATGCTGTGGCATAATCTTAAAAAGTTGGTTCATGCTATAAACCTCCCCAATGTTGCTAAATCACAACAAATCTGCAAAGATGAGTGGGCCAAAATACCTCAAAGTGCATTTTCCTTTTTGATATTTGTCATCAGTTTATGTCATGAAAATATTTGCTCTTTGACTCATTGTACGGAAACGCTGCTTTATTTGCGTATGTTTTATCATGCGATATTCCCATGTTGCACATAATTAATATCTTTGGATAGAAACATAGCTAGTGTCTAGTACATGTTACCAAAATATCAATATTATTTGTATCTACTTTGGACTGGCCTAGTCAAAGTCCTGACCTGAATCTAATTGAGATGCTGTGGTACGACTTTAAAAAGGCAGTTCATGCTAGAAAACTCCACAATGTGGCTGAATCACAACAATTCTGCAAAGTTGAGTGGGCCGAAATTCCTCAAATTAAAACTTTCTTTGATATATTTGTGATCAGATTATCAGGAAGAGGCTATTTTGTTCTCTTTGACTCATTGAATGGAAACGCTGCATCATTTGCTATATTCCAGTTTTGTGCATAATTCCCAACTTTGGATGGAAACATAGCTAGTAGCTAGTAAGTGTTACCCAAATATCAATGTTATTTGTATTAGATCTACTTTGGAGTGGCCAAGTCAAAGTCCTGACCTGAATCCAATTGAGATGCTGTGATATAATGGTGGTTTTATTATGTGAATATTCCAGTTTTTTATAAAAGTTTAATTCGCATCTTTGAATGTAAACATAGCTAGTGCCTAGCGGTATATCGTCCATGTTAAATAAGCAAATAAATAAAAGCACTACCTAAAGCCCAGTCATCTCCGGCCCTCCGCAAGACACTTTTCTTGAGCAGCAGCAGAACTCGCTTTTTCACCACGTACTCCACATCTGTCCTGATGACGTGCAGGAGTGATGAACATCGAGTAAAAGAGAGTCTCTGAGCTGAAGAGCTGAGGCCGTGTCTGAGGCGAGCAGCGTTTAGGGCTTCCAGGAGTTCAATAAACTCACTCATGCTTTTACAAACACACTTCATGTCTGTGCTGTGAGGATCTTTAGTGGACAGAGGCAGGAGATTCCTGTACAAGTGTGTGATGGAGGAGTCCAGTGCTGAAAGAAGACGAGTCAAGACTTCTGTGGAGAAGAAAATGAAAAACGAGAAATTAAATGTTTATGTGTTATATATTACAACTTTAGTCACAAGCCATTTAAAAAAAATTATATTGCAAAAATTGCGTATAATAGATATTCAATCAAGTGTATCTGTGTACATGAGGGTATTATAAAGTGTGTAAGTGTATGTGAAGACTCTTCGGTACCTCTTTTATTCTGGCCCATGTCTGCTTTCAGCACTCCTTTAATAACAGCCGTCACTGACCACAGACACGAGTCCAGTTCACAGCCAGACACTGACCGCTCAAGCACTGCAGCACACGAATCTGTCCACATACAGCTGCTCAATCCCTACAGCCAACCAGACAATAATCACAATGCATCACAACCGTATAGATGAGTTACTAGTAAAATGGGCTATTTGCTTGTTAAGTCTGACATCCCACGACGCAGCTTCCAGGTCAACGTGCCCTATTAAACTTTACAGAGAGGCTCAACAAATGATAATAATAAGTGTTTACAAAGTGCTGGAATACTTTAGAAAATCATGACCCTCATATATATATATATATATATATATATATATATATATATGTGTGTGTGTGTGTGTATATTCATTCATTTTCTTGTCGGCTTAATCCCTTTAATAATCCGGGGTCGCCACAGCGGAATGAACCGCCAACTTATCCAGCAAGTTTTTACGCAGCGGAAGCCCTTCCAGCCGCAACCCATCTCTGGGAAACATCCACACACACATTCATACACTACAGACAATGTACCACATGTCTTTGGACTGTGGGGGAAACCGGAGCACCCGGAGGAAACTCACGCGAAGGCAGGGAGAACATGCAAACTCCACACAGAAACGCCAACTGAGCCGAGGTTCGAACCAGCGACGTTCTTGCTGTGAGGCGACAGC